CCAGGGATGTCAGCAGTGAAGTCACCAGAGCTGTGCTGACTTTGCACTGGCTGGAGGTTTGGCTCCTGCCTAAAAGCTGCCAGGCAATCTCAGGACGGACACTGAAGTGTCCCTTTGGTGTCTCCCCACATCTGTGGGGTGTCCTGTAGCCTGGGAGTGGGTCACTGAGGTGTGCATTTGGGAGGATACTTCATTAATGATGTGCTTATACAGGAATGCTGCCTTTGATGCCTGGCATTGTAAGGCGTGCTGTCAACCCGTGTCTGTTTTGGGATGTTCTGCCTGGAGAAGAGAAGGCTTTGGGGTGAGCTTGTAGCACCTTCCAGTGCCTAAAGGTGACCTGCAAGAAGGCTGGAGAGGGGATTTTTACCAGGGCTTGGAGTGACAGGACAAGGGGGAATGGCTTTAAGCTGAAGGAGGGTAGATTTAGATCAGATATTGGGAAGAAATTGTTCCCTGGGAGGGTGCTGAGACCCTGGCTTGGCTGTGGGGCTTTTATTAGCCAGGTTCTCCCAGTGATCTGAATGTTGGGGTCACTCCAGAGGTTTTGTCTCCTGCTATGAAGTGAGAGTGCAGGTCGAGTGCTTCCTGAAGCACAGGAGTGACTTCACCCTCTAATAACTCCTCCAGCCTCGTCTCCCAGGGAAGCCCTTTGTATTCAATTAGCTAATGTGTGCCTAGCACTTGGAAAATATAGAGTGCCATAGAATTGCTAAGTGTTGTTATTTAACAGCACATATTTAGAGGTTGCAGCCCTGCAGTATAAAAGTCAGAAAACCTACACTGTAATTGCCTGGTGCTGCTGCAGAATTTGCTGTGGTTTGAGCAAAGCCCAGGGATTTTTCACCTGTAAAAGTTCATTAATTTTGGCTGCTGACACTCTGGGGCTATTTTTTCCTGATGCCTCTTGAAGCAGAATGTTGACTTCTGGGGGGTGTTTTTAAAAAAAAAGAGTGAAAAGAGGGGGAAGAATCCAAGATTTGTGTCTCCCAGAAATTCACCTTGGCATCACTCCTGGTGGTCTTCTCTGCACCTCAGGTTGGACTGAGGTGGAGGGCAAAGTGTTGGTCAACTATTGCAATTGCTGCAGTGTAGGGAAGGGGGGGAAAAATCCTTGGTGATGGAACAGAGATGATAAGGGAGATGCTATTTGAACCCATCTCTTTGATTCACATCCTCCCGTGTCCACCTGCCTGAAAGCCTGTGGTTACAAAGCTGTATTTGCACAGGTGGAGGAGCCTTGGAGTCCCCTTTTAAACAGAATGTGAGTTATTTTCCTAATGGCTCCTTGCTCTTATTGCATTGGAAAGTTGTCTTCTAGCCTGCAAAAGCACCTGCCAGGATAGGGGAGAGTAACTATGTGAGGAGAGAAAGGCAGCTGTGAAAGTGTTTTGTGCAGGAATTAGGTCCCTCAGCTCTGTCCAGCAGCTGAGGCAAGGTGGGGAGCTTAGGCAAAAGTCAGTTTTACTCTGTCTCAGTGAGAAATCTTTGGATCTCCATCTGAAAATACCCCTGAGATCGGGGTTTTCCACCCCTTGTCCTGCCTGTGTTTGCCTCTTGCCACGGGAAATCAGCTGAGAGCTGCAGGCCTTGAATGGCAAATGAGTTTTGTGTTTGCAAAACGTGGGTTTGGAAATGTCAAGCGTGGTGAATGAGTGTGTAGAAAGGGAAAAAAAAAAAAAAAAGCCCAGGCGGGGACAGAAGCTGAGCTGAGTATCTGGATGCTCTCACCCCTTTGCCCTCTTTGCAAAGCCTGACCTTACCAAATCTCTCTTATCCCACTGCAAATGAAGTGTGTCCCCCAAGGGTGGTTTATCTCCATCTCATTGCATAGGCAGCTCACGGCTCATTTCCCCCCGACCTGGGTCTGCAGAGTGGTTTTGTGAATATCTGGTGGAAAAAACGTTTAGAGGCCAGAGATTGGAGCTGGAGCAGAGGGAAGGGGCAGGGGGCAGTGGGGGGAAAGGGTCAGATGCAGGCCATGCCACCCCCCTGTCTCACAGAGCTGGTGCTTTATGGACATGACAGCCACAGACATGGGGTTTTCTGCAGCTGGAGGCTTGCCTGGAAAAAGATGGATGTGGATGGGGAGTGCTGGCTGTAGGAAAAGACCCAACCAGCCACTGCTAATGAGAGCTGGGAAAAGCTGCTGCTGACATTTGAACCGGAGCAAATTGGTGTCTCTGGGGGGAGCGTGTCGGGGTCTGTCTGTGTTGCTTTGCAGGCAGCGAGCCCTGGCAGCTGCCTCCAGCCCCGGGGAACCTCCCCGAGGAAATTGGGCTGATGCAGGCGGGGATCCCTCCAAAAACTGTGCCGTGAGCTGGGCGAGGGGCCAGGAGCGACCCCGGAACAAACCTCACCCCTGCCTCGGGTTCCCTGCGGGAAGCAAGACCGTTCCCTCGCCCATTAGTTGCTAATTTAAGGAGCAGAGCACAACAAACCTGCAGCCTCAAAAGCTTAGGGATGTTTTCAGGGCAGAAAAGGCACAATGGATACACGCAGGGAGGGAGGCTGGGGCGGTCTGGCCCGAGAACAAAGCCTTGGACTGTGTGGCTGTTCTGGTACAAAACATCCCATTTTCCTTCTGTGTACAACCAAGCCAGGAGGGCAGTCAGGCAGCTGTCTGCCTCGTGCCCTGCACAATTTGCCTCCCAGCTCTGGCTGCAGGGAGATGGTGTTTTTTACAGGGGCTCAGCACATCTCCTGCTGCTCCGTTTGCATCCAGGATCTCCTCCAGCCCAGCTCCTCATTAGCCACCTGCCCTCGTTGCACGGGCTGACAGGATGCCGTGGGTAAATGGATAACCTGTCAGGGAGGCAGCAGGATAATATCATTCAAATGAATCAATAGTTCACAGGCAATTTCATGTTACCCAACGCTAATGCGGTTGTGTCCAAAACGCACTTAATCCTGTGTCTGATCACATTCCCGGGGGAGTTTGCCTGGGCTGGAATAGTCTTGTAACTCCCATGTTTTGGAGATTTACAGACGCTGTTCCTGCGTGCCCGGGAAGGCAGCAAAGGTAAAAAATGGGCTGGCTTGTTGGGAATCTCACACTCCACAGAGCCCAGAGCCGTCCGTGCCAGTGATGGAGGAGAATGGGCATCCAGCAGTTCCTGAAACTATTATTACTCCCACCTCCCTGCTCCATTTTAGCAATTAGCAAAAGAGAAATTAGTGAGGAAGGTGCCATTATTTGCTGCTAATAGGACAAGAAGGGTTGGACCCTTCTCCAGGAATCTGTCGTGTAGCTGCTTCCCTTGATGTGAGCGGCAAAGGAGGGCTTTCCCTTTTCGCTGTCATTTTTATAATATGCAGTCATTTTTATGCATTGTACCACTTTGCTTTTTAGAATTGTGAGGGGAATGCTCCCAACTCCAAAACCCCGCAGTCAAAGCACCTTCCCACCCTCCACAGGGCCTTAGGGTGTCCCAGGAGTGGCATCTCCTCCTGGTACCTGGTGCCAGTGCAGGATGGGGTTGTTAGGGTTAGGTAGGTCAGGGTTAGGTTCCTCCTCTCCCATGGGGAAGGAACTGGTTCAACTTAACAGTTTAAACTTGGTGTCACCAACTTGGTCGTGGTGGTGGAGCAGCTTCACTCAGCAGATGATGTTTGTCACCCAGGCTGGGGCCCAGTTCAGAGGAAATTCAGAAGAATAAGGAAAAGAGGTGGCCTTGGTGGCCTGGGGATCCCTCCTGCCCTGAGTTTGGATGGAGAACCATGGCTGGTGTCCTCCCACTGCCTGGGGCTCTGAGGCACAGCAGTGTTTTCACAGAGAACAGAGCAGGGATCTGTTTTTGGGGAGTGCCTTGGAGAGAGGGCAGCGCTTGGGAAATATAAATCTCTGTGTGCTCTGGACCTCCCACAGCAGAGCTGACCTTCTCTGGGCTGTTGGAGCAGGTTAGTGGCTTCATCTGAAATACATCATCCACCTCCCTGCCCGGGCTGTGACCCCGGTGTCACAGGGAGCTCCTGCCAGAAGGGGTGGTTTGTAACTGCAGAAGGAACACCACACTCAGGTGTGGGTTGGCAGGAACCACAGCTCAGGAATGGGAACTTTCCATAACCTTTTTTGCAGGGTTTGTTTGGGTTTTTTTGGGGGTTTTTTTTGGTAGAATTTGGCCAATATAACCCTGGACTTGGCTGACATCTTCATTACAAGCCTGAGATGGGCAGCACAAATCCTGTTTAGCACCCAGACCTTCCTCGCCAACGAGTGGGTGGGTTTTATCCCCAGTGTGGAAAGGGGGTTCCACATGTAAGGTCTCATCACTCCACAGTCCCATCTTCCCTCCAAGGGTTGACTGGTTTGGAAGCTTCCAGTGCCTGTTTTCTCCCCTAATCCCATTTTCTGCTTCGTGCTGCTTTAGGAGTTTTCCCTCCAGCGCCTGGACAGCCTGTTGGACGACAGAGTCAACATCCTGGGATTTTCCATTTTCAACCAGTCTCATGCCTTCTTCCAAGAGTTTGTCCAGAGCCTCAACCAGTCCTGGCAGGAGAACTGTGATCACGCTCCATTCACTGGGCCAGCAGTAAGTAAAATTCATTCCCATCACCCACAGCCTCCCTGAGCTGGGAACAGCTACAAACCAACAGGAAAACCTTGTGAGAGGAACTTCAGGATGGTCCTGAGCAGAGCCTGGCAATGCAGAGGTAGAAGCTCTGGTCTCAAAGGGTACGTTTTTAAATTATTAAATTTATTAAATAATTGAATTATTTAATCCAAGTAAACCCTGTGCTGAGGAGCTCAGGCTGCAGCTGTACTGCTGCACCTTGGACTGGCTTTTGTGGGCAGAGGAATGGAAAGGATGAGCCAGACAGAGCATTTTAGCTAAGTAGGTAGGAGAGGAATTTGGGTATCAAGCTGTGATTTGCAGAGGAGGATTTGATTTGGAGAATACTAAAGTGATCCTGAAAGTCAGAGGCTGCCCAAAGGGACTTGGGGAGCAGAGCTTTGGAGGGGTTCTCTGTGCTTGAACTGGGGCACAGCTCTAAATTCAAGCCTAATCTTAGTTTGAACTGTGTTTTCCGTGAGTGCAGGGGATGATGCAGCTCTGATTCAGTGTTCCCCTTGTGAAGTTTGTCCCTGTGTGTTTTACCTCCAGTAACAATGGCTCGTGGCAGAGGGACTGGGAATGCAGATGGCCCAGAAAGGGCTGGGCTCAGGCAGATGCCAAAAGGCTGGGTTGTGTTCCACGCTCCAGCATCTCCCTGATGAATGTGCAGATCAGGACTGAAATCTTCCCCAGGGATTCTCCCCAACTGGGAAGGTTTGCAAAGCACATTTGCCACATCAGGGGTGCTGTGACTGGAGCTGGGGGAGGAGAGAGAGAGAAAATACCATCAGTGGAACCCTCTTGCTTGTTTTTTGATGAGCTCAGAGTCCCCTTGATGAGCTGAGGCAGCTCTGAAAACCTTATTGTCACCACAAAGTGATCCTTAACAGGCAAAATTAGGAGCTTGCTGCCCTTATTATTATTATTTCTGCCTGTTGGATGTGCCTGGGACCATCCTGCTCTCCCTCCTCCCTGCTCCAGTCACTTGCTGCCTGCCCTGCTGAAATCTCCATGGGATTGCTACCAGGAAACTTCCTATTTGGATGACAGTTCAGAGGCATTAAAAACAAATTTCCCTCTAATAGTACAAGCAGAAGTCAGTAGGAACAGGAGTGTAGCAGGTGTGATGGGGAAATTAAAATTCTCATTGGGCCTTCTTACCCTGTGTTGTCTCGAGCAACCAGCAAAACCTGCAGGTGGAAGGATGCAGGATTATGCCTGGAATTCTTCAAAATGCCGTGTCCCAGGTGATGAAAAAGGGATTTGCCCTGGGTGGGGAAGTTACAGAGCAGAGCTGAAATATTCCCAGGCAGGGCATGTGTTTCCTTGCCTTTGTCTGGGAGGAAAATTCCGCCAGGGATCGTCTCTGCTGTCGGAAATCTGGCAGGTCTCATCTCCCAGGGAACAGCCCTCTGTGTTAGAACTTCCCCCTGTAGTCCTGGGAAGGAGTTGTCTCATGGAATAGCTCATCCTAAGGAGGGAAAAGGAAGCTCAACAGCTGGAAGTGACAGGAGGGAGGTTTCCTGCGAGCTGCAAAATCCCAGGGCTTTCTTCTAGAGCTGAGGAAGCATCTGACAAAGGAGGAGGGAGCTGCCTGCTCTAATGCCATTCTCATTAATCACATTGCAAAGAAAGGAAATCAGAGAAAATCATTCAAATTACAGATGGCTAGATTTGGTAATTAGAATTTAGGCTAAAACAGATGTTTGTAATTAAGTGTTTATGCCATTGAATAAAATCCAGATTGTAAAGTCTGTTTCACAGGGTTTTAACGGCTTTAATTCTCCGTGTTACGTTTTGGGGGCAAAGATACAGATGCTAATGTTTGAGGAAGGAAAGGGAAAAAAAAACCCAACCCACATGGCACAACCCAGAGTAGCCAAACCTGTTCACTATTTCCCTGGAGAGCAACTTACCTTTAAACATTGGCCTTTACATGGGAGATTTTAAAAAAAAAAAAGTGGATTATTCTACTTGACTGCTGTTGGTTTTTAGAGGGAGGAGGATGTGCTGCATCCAGCAGGGAGCTGGAGCTCAGGCTCAGGGCATCTGATGGGGTTCATTGTCTTGAAGACACCAGTTGGAAGGTCCAGCTGCTGATCTTTTTTTTTTTTTTTTTTTGGNTTTTTTTTTTTTTTTTTTGGTGCTTTCTAGTTGGTGAGTTGTTCCCAGGGCTTTGTGTCACAGCTGGACTCTTCAGCATCCCCCTAGTTTTTGGGTACAGCCTCTCCTTGTGCAGCTGGGGGTGGAGCAGGGAGCCCACCTCCCCTTCCCTGGAGCCCTGCCCTGATGAGACACCCAGCAAGTGGCAATTTTCATCAGCAACTTGCATTGTCAAGAGTTTGGCTTTGGGGATTGAGGGAAGTCCCCAGAGCCCCGTGGATCTGCTGACCCTGCCAGGGAGCTCTGGCATGGCAGGGGTGGCACAAAACCAGCAGAGATCTGCACAAATCAGACGGTGCAAGCGAGGAGCAGAATCCATTTGTTAACAGACAAATTGGCTGTTTGAGACAGGGTGACAAAGCTGTGGGTTAAAATGAGGACAGGAAAGGAGTGAGAGATTTTATAGGTGACGTGGAGAAAGTTGAGGTGAAGTAACAGGAAGGCAGTGGCAGATCCCCCTCCTTGGATCTGCCTGGAGGGAGTTCCAAAGGTGCTGCCTCCAGGTCTCTCTCCACTCCCCTGCTGAAGGCTGTGCCCTCCAAAATGTGTGGCTGCTTTGCATCTTTTCCAGTGCAAAATCCAGCAGCTTCAGCTCCCTCAGCACTGACTCAGGTGAGGCTGCAGGGAAGGGGAGGGGATGTTCTCAGCTGACCCCCTCCTCATTTTGACTTTCTGGGCTGCAGGAGACACTTGCCTGCCTCCAAAATCCAGGGGGACAAAGAACCCAGAAATGCTGCTGCACTCCCAACACCCTGTAATTGGGAATGGGTTTCCTCCACACAGCTGCACCCCAAATTTCCTTACTGTGTTGAATATGATCTGTTATATCTGAGTTACCATCTGAGAAAGAGATGAGAAACAGAAAACACTGGGGTGAGCTGAGAGGCAAATGGGAGAGCTCCTGAGGAAGGTTCTGATTTTAATTCGGGAAAGAAAAGAAGAATGGGAAGGATTCCTATTCCCTACCACAAGGACTTGATCCTATGTATCACCATGCCCTCCCCAGTCCCTAAATTCCTTGAAATTATAAGGGGCCTGCCAGAAATCCTGACAACTTTTTCAGAGCAAAGCACTCCAACCAATAATGTCAAATGCCTCGCTGAGATCTGCAAGTCTCTTGCTCACCAGCTAATAAGAGATCATTAACTGCTCAGGGCAAATGGAAATGGAAACCCAGCAGGAGACAATTAAAAATGCTGGGCCAATATTCTGATCTGGCACGAAATGGTGAAGCACTGGGGTCGCAGGGGTTGTGTTTGGTCTCATAACAGTTTCATTTGTCCAGCTGGTGGTGTTAATCTGGTTCCTGATTCAGGGAAGTAATTGCTAATTGTGTGTGACATCCTGTGACCTGAGTGGGATTAAGTTCACAGTGAAAATTAAGTGTATGCTAAAGAGCTTCATGCAACAGGGGCTCAGGACAGGACAGGCTGGAGAGGCCCTGTTAGGAAAAAATAAAGGCAGGGAGAAGGATATATCATCTCCTTTAAGGGTCTCTGAAAAATGCTTCCCAGGAGGGGAATGTTGGATCAAGCTTAGCAGACTTACCCCCAAACAGGAGGGAAGAAGTGCAGGAGAGATTCTTGCTGCCATTGCAAAGGGTCCTGTGGTACCTCCCAGCTGAGACAGGAGAGGAAACAAAATGCCAGATTTCTCTTCCCACTCTTCCACTCATTCCTTGTGTGCTCAACTTCCATGACCAAAGGTGTGCCTGTTCCATGGGAGACGGGTGAGCTGCAAGACTGGCAGGGGCCAGTCAAGCTTCTCAGGGCTCCCTGGAGAAACCTGGATGGGATTTGTGTAAAACAGATGAATCTGGGATGTGCAGGAGGAATGGGACAGAGCAAATGTGAGTCAGGGCTGGAGGAGTGAGAGGTCACCGGCGCTGTCAGAGCTGGTGGTTGGGGTTTTGCTGGCATGAGGCTGGAATCCTGCCCTTTAACTGCTGGCTTGTGGGTTTAAAGGTTTTTGTGCTGCTTGTCAAGTGTCTGATCCCAGCCCACCGTGGTCAGTGAGGTCTCACCACTGATGTGAGGAAGATCAAGCTGGGTTAACTCTGCCTCGCTCTGTTCGAATTAGTAACGCAGTGGAAGCCAAAGGTTTGTTGGGATGATTGAACTGGGAGAGATTGTCCCTGCAGGGCCACTGGCAGCACTGAACAAACCTAGTCAGGCTTTGGGAGGAGGAGAGGATGCAGATTCCACAGCCAGGGTGAGGCAGGCAAAGGAGCCCCAGGCTGGAGACTGAGCCCGTTGCCAGGAGCCGGGATGGGAAGAGGATGCTCCTGGAAGTATCCATGAGGAAAATGTAGCCTTGGTAGTAATGAGGTGCAACGGCTTAATTCCAGCAGAGTCAGGAGGTGACAATAATTAAAAGTGAAATCTCAGTCGCACCAGTGAACACGAGAGGGAAAATGGCTGATTATTAACGGGATCAAAGGCCTGGAAACACTTGTGCTCGGGCAAGAAACACAGTTTGTGAGGCTTGATGGACAAAGAAACCTGATGAAAGGCAAACAAAGCCCAGAGGAGGAGGAGAGCTGTGTGACTCTGGACGTGCCTTCAGCAGAGCCATTACAGCAGGGAACTGGGGGTGTAGCACAGCACTGGATGGTCCCTGTGGGGTCTGAAAAGTAGGATTTGGCTGCTTGAGAAGCAGATCTAGCAAAATCTCATCTCATCTCATGTGGATCTGCCTGTCAGAGGACACACTGGTGCCCAATAATGGCTGAAGCAGCACAATCATCTTGCCTGCTGTGAGTGCAGGCACAGGGTCTCTGTTCTGCCCAGCTGCCCATTTTAGGAACTCCACAAACCTGATGCTCTCAGGAGCGTTCCTCCTGGCCAGCAGATTGATCAGAGTCACCAACATGCCTGGATTAGAAAAAGTGAGTTACTTTAGGAAACTGAGGTTAGAAGAGAATGGGGAGGGGCAGAGAAGAAAAAGTGAGTTACTTTAGGAAACTGAGGTTAGAAGAGAATGGGGAGGGGCAGAGACAGAGAGAGAGGGAAAGATGACAACGGTAGAAGAAATTCCGAAGAACAAGGAAGCAAAAAGGGGTTGTGAATAGGGCGCTGTCCTGCTTGCTGCAAGGAGCAGTGGGGGGCTGGGTTTTGGTCTTCCTGCCTGAGTTTTTGTCCCCTTTTCCCCCCAGCTCTCCTCTGCCCTGCTCTTCGACGCCGTGTACGCCGTGGTGACGGCCGTGCAGGAGCTCAACCGCAGCCAGGAGATCGGGGTGAAGCCCCTGTCCTGCGGCTCTGCCCAGATCTGGCAGCACGGCACCAGCCTCATGAACTACCTGAGAATGGTGAGAGGGGGCTGGAGTGTGTGCTGCTGTGGCAGAGCTCGTGCTCCCCACTGCCAGCAGCAAGAGCTGTGCTGGTGCTGGCAGTCTGTGCTATTTAGAGAGCAGATCTAAAGGCTGGTTTGTCCCTGTTGTCCCTGGCCTTGGAACGACATGAAAATCCCCGTTTTTGCTGCAGAAAAACTGAAACTCAGTGGATTTTTATTTTTTTTTTTTGCTGAAGTATGAATGTTTCTAAGTGGTTTGAGCCCTGTTTTCAGTGAACTTGAGTCGATATAAGATCATGCTATACAGTTGCTCAGAGCTCAGTAGTAAGATGTGAGCTCCCCTGTGGAGGAGTCTGGGCTCCTTTTAACCAAGAGTGTGGTTGCTGGAACCAAACAAGCCTAGTTCTGGCGGGAGGACACTCTGAAATTTCATCCTGGGGTTGGCCAATATGACTCCATGCCCATGCAGAAGGAGCAGGTTTCTGAGTCTGTTTTGGGGGGGCAACTGAGACAAGAAAATTTCAAGAGGCTTTTTTTTCCCCCAAGGGAAAGCTCAGCTGGACCTGAGCCTTGTACCACTTGGGTCCATGCGTGTGAACCTGTTTTAAATCTCACCCTTAGTCAGAGCCAACAAAATCCTTCAGCTTCCCTTAGCTCTGGTCTTTGGAGCCCCAGTGGCTTAGCCTTGGGATGGGGGGAGGTGATGAGGGGCTGTGGAGGTGGTTTAGCCCAAAGCAAAGAAACCTGGGGAGCCCTGCACTTTGTTCTCCTGCTTCTGTTCCTCTCCAGACTCTGAGAGCAAGCAGGGTGGGGACACAAGGGCTGCACTGGGAGGGTGGTGGGGTGAGCCACCTCGCTGGGCGCTGTAACTCAGTCTCTCTTGGACAGGTAGAATTGGAAGGTCTCACCGGCCACATCGAATTCAACAGCAAAGGCCAACGGTCCAACTACGCCCTGAAAATCCTGCAGCACACCCGGGCTGGATTCCGGCAGGTAAGAGCAGACACAGTGCCCAGGGACAATCTCTGTGTCCCCTGGTGAGGGGGTGGCTCAGGCTGCTGCTGTGGGGACCCAGGGGGGTTGCAGGGCCCCCCCCTGCAAGGAGAGGTGCTCAGCACGGTGTGGATCAGGGCGTGGATCAGAACATGGATCACAGTGTGGATCAGGGCATGGATCAGAGCATGGGTCAGGGTGTGGATCAGGGCGTGGATCAG